GCATGTAAACCCTAGGAGTATGGTATTTACCCTAGACGAATTACAAATCCTAATCACATGAAGCAAGCCTCAAATTAGACAGCTTCTGTCCCAATTTGTCGACAGCACCAATGCCAATCTCTCGACATCGCCAATGCCAATGCCAATGCCACAAAGTCTGCTGTGCTGCCATGTCTTGGCTGCCAACTCTCAGCCCAAAACACTTGTCTTCCAACATTGCCTTGCTTCACGAGTGCACCTCCCATACACCTTTGGCTTGCCTTGGCATGGTGATGCATGGTGCAAAACATCAAAACCATGCCATGGCCTATGCCAACTTGTAAGAGTCTTACACAAGTCCAGTAGTAAATTTTGTAAAGTACTGGCTGAACGGGAGGCGTGTGTAATGTCACCTTCTGACCCTACAACATTTTGTAGTGGAAAGTAAAATTCACTATATCACAATGTTCTTGTAAAATTTAACTTTAACCCATGTCATAATATCTTTGGGAAAGAAATTACAAACCATCATTGCCTACTGCTTCGGCTATTGGGGACCCATCTGATTAATATCCAATTAACTTTACAAATCCTCACCTTAGCATTGGTTATTATTTGCTTTGTCGCTTGATCATCGGCAATGATATTAGCGTATGTGATATCGAAATACACTCCACGCTGCATAGGCATCTTCAAACGAAAAGGTAACTTGTCCAAGAAATCAACCGCACTTATATCTACCTACGCCAAAACAAAAACAAACAAGAAAACCATCCAAACGAAATGCTTAGGGCCCGTCTGGTAACTTTTTTACGGAGTGTTTTCTGAGAATATTTTCAGAGAATGAAAACAAGAAAACGAATTTGCATTTTCAAGAATTGAAAATGCGTCTGGTAGATTAATTAGAAAACATATTCATAAAACAAAATCAATGAAAAAGTGTTTGGTAGTACAATTTGAAATAATAATATGTGAGTTATTTTTATGAAAATGTTTTCCACGAGAATGAAAACAACTTTTTTCTGTTTTCTACAAGTACACATGACCTTGTTTTCATTTTATGAAAACATTCTCAGTGTTTTCTGTTTTTGGGCCACCGAACATGTTTTTGCCTCATTTTTGTTCTCTGAAAATGAAAACAACCTCTTAAAATGTTACCGAACGGACCCTTACATTCTTCCTCAATTATGCGGGTAACCAAACACAATTTCACAAAAGAAGTACAAATTAAAATAAATAAAATAAAAACAAAAACAAAAACAAAACAAACAAAAAGATGCACGAACCTCCAATTTTTCACAGGCGAGTTCGAAGGCCAACTGATTCAAGGGCTTGACAGCGACCAAATTGTAGGTTTTCAAAATGGGATTACCGGAATTGAGGGCCTTGGACTGGGCCGGGGTCTCGGTGCAGACAGTGAGGCGCGTGTACTGCCGGAAAGGGGAGGTGCGTGGGAGGTCGAGCAGGTCGCAGTGGAAGTTAACGTTGGAGAGGAGGAGAGGACAGTGTTTGAGGAAGGAAGCGATGGTGAGGAGGGGGATCGAGCAAAGGTCACGATCGGACATCACGCCCTTGATCGTACGGTTGTAGGCGACGCCGAAGTAGCCTAGCTCCAAGGCCTTATTCACGAGCTTTGCACGTGTTATTGATGACCGGTCGGGTGGCGAGGGATCTGTGTAGGGTATGCTGAGGTTAGTGGCGAATCCAAGATTTTTACTCCAAGGGGTCATAGTGTAAAAGTTCTCAAAAAAAAAAATTGGGATAGAAATAACATTGTTATATTGACATAATTGCTAAGAAAGTAGAAAATCCAAATATTGGTAAATTACCCCCTAGTGTAGTGGTTTGGAGCAATTGCTCCCCCATAAAAGGTCTTGGGTTCGAGTCCTAGCATCTATGTAGTGTGTATAAGTTTATTATACTATTGTACATCCTCTCAATGGGAAATGTCCTAAAAAAACAACAAATATTAGCCTTTTGATCAAGGTAAAAGGAAAAAAAAATTGAGAAAGAGGGAATATAAATGATTTAATTGCACTTGACATACATTATCTGAAATTTTATCCATAAAAACAAATCACCATTTTCTGTCTACATGAAAAAGAAGGATTAGAAAAGAGAAAGCAAAGCAATCAAATAAAAGAAAGAAAAAAAACTCGAAAAATAAAAGGGTTAGAAAAGGACTTGGTCTTGCAAGGAGTTGACGAGTTCCTTCCCAGGAATTAAAAGATGAGGCAAATGAGAAAGGAATTGAAGGGGTTTTTTTGGGCGAAAGGAATTGAGGGTAAGGGTTTGGGTGGATTCAAAGTAGTGTAAAGAGCTATGTTTTTTTTTTTTTTGGGTTAAAGGAATTGAGGGTAAGGGAGAGAGATGTTGATGTGCTGTTTCTTTTATTTATTTTCTAAAGCCTGGCTCAAAACGACGTAGTTTTGAGGCCAAGTCATTAAAAAAAAATTGAATACGCCTGGACCAAAACGATGTCATTTTGGCTAGGCGCTTAAAAAAAAAATTAGAACCTTACGCACGCAGTAGCTGGGCGCTGTGCTGCGCAAGGCTTTTGGCCTTTGGGGACTTTCGTCGAGCAAGTTGTGTGCACACTTGGGGTCGTGCATCTGCTGGCCAAAGGGTCACCTGAGACTTCCACATCCATTTTTCGGTCATCCAAGGGGTCGTGAGACCCCTCCTGTCCCTTAGTGTGTCCGCCTCTGGCTGAGGTCGAAGAAGGCCATGGCTGGAGAAATAAGGGGAGAGATTGAAGTTGGTTTTTTGGAGGTTTAGGGTTTAGGGGATGAATTAGGAGTTGGAAGTCTTTTCTCTTTTCATTTTTTATTCTTATCAGGGGAAAGGAATACAGAAAATAATAATAATAATCTCTAATAATAAAATGTTCCTTCTTTTCTCTTATTCTTTCTTTTTTCCCAATAATACCCCAATGAATGAACTAGTGAGTTCAGATTTAGACAAAATTTACTCAAAAAAAAACTGATTCTTCATGGTGGAGTGGTGACATGAAAAATTCTTAAATGAGATCTATGCATCAAAGAGAGTCTATAATTTTTATAAAAAATTGAAATTAGGAATAATCAATTGGCCTATTAGCTTAGTTGGTTAGAGCGTCGTGCTAATAACGCGAAGGTCGCAGGTTCGAGACCTGCATGTTGTTGGTTTAAATTTCTTAAAACTTTCAAACTTGCTTCAACAATTTTTCTATGACTGGTTTTCTTTTTATTTTTAAAAGTTTGGATTTAAATCATGGTTAGATTGAAGTTCCCCATCATCCATTTTAGTCTATGTTCTCAATCAAATCCTACTCCCAAAGCTCCTTAACGCCGCTCTCATGTTCTCTAAATTTGATTCTACATTGTGTAGGGTGGCGAGGGATCTGTGTAGGGTATGCTGAGGTCGAAGAAGGCCATGGCTGGAGAAACAAGGAGAGAGATTGAAGATGGTTTTTTGGAGGTTTAGGGTCTAAGGGATGAATTAGAAGGAGTTGGAAGTCTTTTCTCTTTTCATTTTTTCTTCTTACCGGGGGAAAAGAATACATAAAATAATAATAATAATCTCTAATAATAAAATGTTCCTTCTTTTTTCTTCTTCTTTCTTTTTTGCCAATAATTACCCCAATGAATGAACTAGTGAGTTCAGATTTAGACAAAATTACCCCAATGCATGTTGTTGGTTTAAATTTCTTAAAACTTTCAAACTTGCTTCAACAATTTTTCTATGACTGGTTTTCTTTTTATTTTTAAAAGTTTGGATTTAAATCATGGTTAGATTGAAGTTCCCCATCACCCATTTTATTCTATGTTCTCAATCAAATCCTACTCCCAAAGCTCCTTAACGCCGCTCTCATGTTCTCTAAATTTGATTCTACATTATGTAGGGTGGCGAGGGATCTGTGTAGGGTATGCTGAGGTCGAAGAAGGCCATGGCTGGAGAAACAAGGAGAGAGATTGAAGATGGTTTTTTGGAGGTTTAAGGTCTAAGGGATGAATTAGAAGGAGTTGGAAGTCTTTTCTCTTTTCATTTTTTCTTCTTACCGGGGGAAAGGAATACAGAAAATAATAATAATAAAATGTTCCTTCTTTTTTCTTCTTCTTTCTTTTTTGCCAATAATTACCCCAATGAATGAACTAGTGAGTTCAGATTTAGACAAAATTACCCCAATGCATGTTGTTGGTTTAAATTTCTTAAAACTTTCAAACTTGCTTCAACAATTTTTCTATGACTGGTTTTCTTTTGAGTCTATAATTTAAAAAAAAAATATTGGAATTAGGAAAGATCAATTGGCCTATTAGCTCAGTTGGTTAGAGCGTCGTGCTAATAATGCGAAGGTCGCAGGTTCGAGACCTGCATGGGCCACTAATAACAAGTTTTGTTGATTTAAATTTCTTAAAACTTTCTAAACTTGCTTCAACAATTTTTTTGTGACTAGTTTTCTTTTTATTTTTAAATGTTTGGATTCTATTTCAAAAATTTATCATCAATCCACTTAGGAGTAAGACTGAATTTGAAATTTTTTTTTTTTTTTTAAAGGAACTGTATATACATATATATATTTTAAGTTGAATTCTATGAACAAATAATTAAACTTTAACACTAGTGAATTAGTTGATGAGTACGGAAAGTGAGTAATTCGAACCATCGGTATACAAGTTTTTATGACATGAAGAGCTTGATACACCGATCAAGTTGTTGAATGTTGTGTGTATTTGGAAATTTTTCAACCAAAAAAATAATTAATTAAAACCTACCGAACAAAGTTTAAGGATTGCTAATCACAAAAATTAAAGTTTACGAAAAGCCCATTCTTTTAAGAACAAACTACTAAAAAGGCACATTTTGTTATAAATCCATACGTTATGGGTTTATAGGTTATGGATGCCCACAATAATATCCATCATTATATACATGTAACCTACCAATGTATTTGTACTCTACCAACCAATGTATTTGTACTCTA